CCCCAAAACCCCAAAACCCCGATAGTAGTTATTATTATTGTATTTCTAGAAATTAAATCTAAATCAAATCAAATAATATAACCTTCTTATATTAGTAGAATTTATTTCTAAAAAAATTGGATGTTTCAAATACGCAGCTTCGATTTTAAATCCTTCTTTAATGCTTCTATTTGCTTTTTGTTATTGACTGTAGCAGTAATTTCTGAAAGCTCTTTTAATGTAATCTTGTATTGATGATAAGCATCTGAATATTATTTCTCTAACTCCATTAAATCTCCTAACTCAATTTAGATTCTTATTCTTTCTAATTAGAAATCTTCTTCATTTTCAACATAATCGATTAATCCATAAAGAATGTCGTATGCATCATCATAATCATCTAATTTCACTTTGAATTCTACCTTCTTAAAGTTTAGCTTAATCACCTTATCTATATTATGATCATATCTCCCTTTCAATCTTTCAGAAGCTAATTAACTATCCAAAACTTTAATTGCTTTGTGATATTCTTTGAGATGATCGAAATTTATCACAATTTTCTCATAAATTGTATCTTCAAGATCATAGTTTAGCAGTTTTCCTGGATGCTTTGACTACTAATGAATTATTACATTAAACTTTATTAAACTTCTAAGCAGCTTAATAGACTTGTGAAAATCTTTGTTTAATGAATAGCAATCAGCAATTTGCAAGTAAGTGTTTAGCACTTACTGACAAAACTAATTCTTAGCGTATAGAATCATTTGCTTCTACATCTTTAATTCTAGATTCTCTTACATTACTTTATAGCTTTATTAATTCTCAGCAATTTTCCCTAAAAGGTCATAGCTATCAATCTATATCAAAAGCACTTCCTCCATTTACCAATTTAAGTTTTCTAGGGTATAGAGGACCTGATTTAGAAGGGACTATGCTTCTTATAAATCAAACCAATCATGCTATATCAAGGCTTAAAAGTAATAATTCTTGGCTTTAATCAACGTAAACTAAATCATTAATTCTGAATTTTCATCAGTCAATAATATATTTTCAGAGCTCTCTATAAGTGTATTATATGATTAATCTATTTCTTATAAATGATAAAGAGCTGTACTTAATCTCAATTTAAATAAACCAATTTAATATCTATCCTATTCCAATTTTTAATCATCATCTTATTCTCCTTGCTCAATAAGAAAATCTTTTATCTAAATTACATCACTCATTAAATTTTTTGCCATTATATAATCCTTATGACCAATCATAAGATTAAAAATTTCATCAAATAATTTTCCTTAATCTTCAAATAGAGTGTAATAATCAATTATGAAATCATCCTTTTCCTCTAATGATTAAAAAGTTTTAGAATTTTTTAGTAGTTTTACTCTTTACTTTAAAATAGCAACTATCTATTGAAAATATAGATCGGCTTCTCCACCATCATTCTATTTCAGATAGTACTTAGAAATGTTGAAATAATTCTGAATGACCTCTAAACTCAAATCTCCAAACTATGTTTTGTTAATAAATAACTCTTTAAACATATCATTTAGAGCATTTTTGGTTCGATTATTATAAATATGTATTTTTGCTGTAAGTCTCAACATATCTCTCATTGTAATTTGATTTTTACAAAGACTTTTAGCTATCTTAAAATCATCTATTGCTGAATCAAATTTCATCTCGTAAGCCCTTTTTGCTTTTACTTCATAATATCTTCCCATCCAATAATTTGTTAAGTATTCTGGATTTTTATTGATATCATTTTCTATGAAATACAACTCTTTGTCAACCTTTGAAAGCTCCTATTATCTATAATTGTGCTATAAATGGAGTATTCTTGAGATTGGAGCTAAAGATGAAGCCTGTTCAAATTTAAAAGCAAATGAATCTATCAATAAGATTATTTTATACAATGCTTAGTAGTATTCCTGCCTTTCAAATTGTTCTATATTCCTCAATAAAGTCTCATTAAAATTTTAAATCATGTATTCTTAGAAAAGCTTTATTAAGTCTTTTAAATCAGAATCTCTTTCATTTATAAGTAACTTAGCAGAATCTCTAATAAAATTTTGAAGATCTTCATTCTTTATTCTGTTAATAAGCTGCTTACTGTTGAATATTTAACCAATAGCCTATCTGTCGAAAAATTGAAGATCTTTATAAGTATACTATTACTTGAATGGCTATAAAGAGCTGACTTACTAGGGCGTATTTGTTTGGTTTAAGCCCTTCAAATGGTATTTCAAATTATCCTATTGAGGATTATAAATAATGCTTAAATCATAACCATCAACCACAATTTCAAAATCATCCTTAATCAAAATGCAAGTTTCAGATAAGTTACCATGATAGATTTAATTCAACTCTATGTTATAAATATACTCAATTGCCAAATAAAACAAATACAAATACTTCTCTTGAGTAAATATAGTCTCACTTGGTGTCACTCTTAGTTTGGTCTCTCTATTCAAGTTTGTTATTTTTTCCTCAAACATCCATTTTAAATTGTAGCCTGGAATAATTTGTAGAACTATATAGCATCTTATTTCCTAGCTTTTTCCATCTAGTATAAATATTTCCTTGACAATTTCAGGAAAATGAGAATCTATATGACCTAGTTAAACCTAAAACATTATGTCATTAAGATGATCTTTATGCGGTTTAAAGTTGTTCTTAAACAAAACTATTACATTTTTATTATTTTTCATCCTAACAGTTGTGTAAAATTAAACTGGATTGAATGCTTTATTGCGGTCGTCTAATATGAGATCAGATAATTCAAACTCTTGAACATGTTCATTTATAATATCTTAAATGCTTTCAGTTGTATATTTATCTTTTTCTATCTAATCATCATGCAAAATTATTTACTTCTGCATTATTAAATGCTACTTTTATTTTAGCAATCATTTGTAGCTTGAATATAGATTTTTCTGAATGATTAATTATATTTGTCCTCCATCTGCTTCATTCGATTTTTTCAATACTAGATTCTAGATTAAAATCTTTTTACTTATTTCTCTCTATAAGTCCTTTTACTCTAATTCAATGTCTTCCTTAATTTTTAAATCTAAAGTATTAAAATTCTCTACTACTCCTTGGTATTATTCTTCCTCAAAGAATTTATTGTTGTCAACTATCATTGAATAGGTCTCTTGCCAAGAATTATTAATAAGATATTACTCGAATTCTACATTCTTATTGTAAATTTCCGATTTACAATTCGTTGATATATAGACTCTTTAGTATTTCTAATCCTCCCCAATTTATTCGACCATATCCACTATATCTACTTGAATATAGTTATCATCAATAATCGTGTCTTCGAGTCTCAGAGAATTCTTATCCGAGATAATTTTATTTTCGAACTTCGAGTTCATTATCAAATCATCTTAAGTTATTAAATGAGATTTTGTTTTTTAATTATGGCCTAATTTCAGAGATGCTTATTTATTTCCCATTGATTTATAATTTTACAATTTTAAGCGTAATTTTAAAAAAATCTAATAAGCATGGGGTTTTGGGGTTTTGGGGTTTTGGGGAGATCGGAAGAGCACACGTCTGA